CCCTCCCCTCCTCACGCACTATGGCAGCGCCCCCTGGCGGCCGGTGCGTGTGAGGGGAACCGGCCCGTGCGTCATTAATTAGTGACGCTCGTAATTAACCAGAGAGCGTGTGTCCCCAGGGCGGGACAAAAGCGGTGCCTGGAGTCGCCGTCGGGGTCAGGGCGTGACAAAAACCGGGATAAAGCCGTTCCAAGACAGTCACTTAATAAAAATGCGGTGGGCGAAGGGAAGACGTGTTTGTCAGAGTCACTTTAATGCCGTTTAATCAAATGTTCCCGGGAAAAGTTACATTTGTATCCTGTCCAGCTGCCTCCCTGCCTTTCGAGGCTTTTTAGGACACGGGACTCAGCTTTTTTCAATGCTAGCAACCGAGTAAACTTTATAAAAACAAGGCAGAACACTCGCATGGATTCCCATGGGATTCCCGGCGGGAAGAGCCTCAGATCCTTCAGGGAAGAATCATTTCCCTTGGGCCTCACACACCTGAGCAAGGCAAACAGGACGCTGATCATCAGGGAAATCAGGCAAATCCAAAGAAAAGGCTGGAAAACACCATTTCTACGGGGAATGAGGTTGTGGTGGCTGGGGAGCGTCATTAGAGCTACTTAGGACTAATTAGCCCCATCAGCACAGGTGGAGCCCTGGAGCTGATGCCCACAGGACTCAGCATCATCTCCCCAGGCCATAGACAAGGGGAAAAAAAAGTCCAGGAAAATCTGGACTCGAAGGAAAAAATCCTAAATTTTTCGTTAAATAATCTGGGGTGAGAAATGGTATTTTTGAGACAGCATATCTGGGGCCAGCTGTGCCCACCAAAGGGAAGCAGAAGCATTCCTGCTATTTTTTTCAGCTCCCAAATATTATTATCCCAAATGAAAGTTGCATTTCAAGAGCGGAAGAGCCTCTCTCTGCAAATTCCAACCTCAGGAAGTCTGAAAGATGCCGGAGCGGCTGCTCTGGGAAGGGAAAAAAAAAATCTCCTTTAGTCAACTGGAATGGCAGCCAGAGGTTGAGAAAGGCAAAGAGCCGAACTTAAACTTTTCCAGGGCTGGAAGGGAGAAACCAGCTCACCCTGGCCTCGGGAATTAGGAAAATGTTGTCAGTTTGGGATGGTGCCGCAAGGAAAAGCCTCCCGAGCGTGGTCCAGGCGCCCGTCTCCTGCTGTGTTATCCGGAGAAAGCAGCAGATGGAAACTATTCTGCCCTGTCAGGAGCTTGTCCTCTCCCAAATTCCTGGTGTTCAGCTCCCAGATTTTGTTATCATCCCAAAATGGGGTCATGGCCTGTTGGAAGAGCACATCCAGCCAGGCTGGGAAGCAGCAGGGAGAGGAGCAGCCATGCTTCTAGAACAGCATTTTCTCCTAATTTTGGGGGATATTTTTGAAGCACTCCGGAGTTTTCCCTTCCCTCCCCCAGCACAACGCTGGGATGCATTTCTCTGCCCAGCTCCACGTCCAGCCGGAGCTCCTGCCAATCCAAACATCCTCCATCCGCCGACAACGGCCCTGAATGTCCCTTCTTGTTCTGCTGGAGAGATCCAACCCCTTCCCAGGCTCCTATACCCCCCAAAAATCCAGGAGCTCGATCCCCCAGAAGAGACAGACCCATCTTGGGAAGTCTCTTTCCCCAGGACAAGGAGTGGGAATGGTTTTAGTGGGTGCAGCTCAGCAGGATGTAATGGAGGGAGGGTTCCCAGGGGAAAGGATGATCAGGGAGGAGGATTCCCAGGGTGAGGATTCCTTGGGGGGAAGGATGCTGCAGGCTGGAAATGCTGAGGGACGAGGATGCTCCAGTGGGAATGAGCCCCCCATTATCAGCCAGCCCCTCCCAAACAAAACAAAGCAGGAAAATAAAACCATGGATAACGGGTTCTTGCCCTCCCAGACCCCAATTCCCCTTGGACTGCTCCGGGTGAGCATTCCCCCCCATCCACACATCCATCAGGTGCTTCACTCCGGTGACATCCTTTACATCATCCTTTAATTGTACTAAATCCAGTGGGATGAGGGAACATGCAGAACATGCACAAGCAGGAGGGTGAATCCTCCTGGGAAAAGCTGAATCCCAGCTCTTCCCAGCATTCCTATGCCAGGATGGAAGCTCTGACTGAGGGAGCAGGGAAAATTCCCACCTCCACATGCAGCTGAAGCTCTGCTATGAAGAGGATTCAGGGGGGATCCCCATTTGAGAGGTTTAAGGAGCAGGGATAGCCCTGGAATTCCTCCTTTGCCCCACTTGCCAAGGAGGGCACCCAGGTGGTTGTTCATGGAGTGTTCCAGCCCTGATCAATCCCTACAGGCTGCCAGGGGGATTCTCAGCATCCAGAGGGAAGTGGGAGAGTGTTTTTAGGGAGCAGGACCAGGCGCAACAAGGGAGGGGAGCAGCAAAGGCCATGAGCCTCCCTCTTCCCACACACTTGGCTTCACTGCTTCCTAAAGGAAAAAATGGGAATTCAGAGGAAATCAGGGCTGTGGTTTCCATCTGCTGTTGCAGGACATCATCTCTCTGGAGCTGGGATGAGGATGGGGATGAGGATGGGCTTGTCCACCTCATTTGGTGGTGTAAATCCACATGGGAAGAAGAACTTTGGGACAGAGCAGAGAAAGCCAGACATCTGCAGAGCAGCTCCAACGTGGACATTCCCGTGATCCACGGGATGCTGAGCAGGGAGCAGGACCCACCCCTAGAACTCATAAGCCGAGACAAAGAGGGTGATTTTGGACAGGTGCTTGGCCTGGAACGCCCTGTCCAGGTACTCGGCCATGTCCACGTCCACGCGGACGGTGCGGGGCCCGCGCAGGCT